TATTATAAATATACATTATTATATATTATATTATATTTATATTATATTATTATATATAAAGTATTATAATATATTATATAATATATAATATATAATATATAATATATTATATATTATATATTATATAAAATAAATTATATATTATATATTATATATTATATATTATATATTATATATTATATTATATGTATTATATATTATATATTATATATATTATATATTATATATTATATTATTTATTTCTATTATATTTCTGGGAACATCCCATCCCAGTGTGCCTGGGGAGGGTTGAGGTGATTTCCTGATCTGGAAATCCAAACTCCAGCTCAGCCAGAGGAAAAGCTGCAGGGGAATGGGGCTGCAGGTGTTTGTTCCTGCTGGTGTCTGAGCCCAGCCCTGCAGCACCACAGGGAACTGCTGGGAAAAAAAATAGTAATAATAATAAAAAAAAATCTCATTTAAGGATATCAAGATTTAAGAGAAAAAGCAGAATTTCACATCAGATGCCCCAGCAAGCAAAGCTTTGTCTCTATGGAAACACATCACCTCGGAGCCTCCTGCATGCAAAAGCCTGGATTATCTGGGAGTTCCAGAGAGGGAACTGAGGCAGGGAAAAGGCAAAGCCAGGATGGGCAGGGACAGCAGGATCCATCAGGATGCTCCCAGCTCAGCCCAGATCAGCTCCCAGGGTCCCAAAACCACGCTCTGCAGCCCAGGCCACCCTCCCTGAGGTCCCCTGCGCATCCCCTCAGCCGTGGCACAGACTTTTGGAATTCATCCCGGATTTCTGCAGCTCCCAGAGCAGGGAAATGTTTGGCAGGAGGCTGAAGAGCCAGCCCAGCTCCAGCAGCATGCAGGTGAGGGCAGTTCCCACCATCCCTCTCCCCACAGGGCTGGGGCAGGAGGTGATTTCTCCTCCAGGGACTTCTTGTGAAGCCACCAAACACCGGGAAAAAGAGGGGAGGAAAAGGCTCCTTAAATTAAATCATTTAAATTTGTTGTTAAATCCTCTCAGGCAGAGAAAAGATGGAGAGCCAGCTGGGGAAACTCAAACTCAGGGGGATCCCTCGCTGTCCCCTCCAGGCACCCCAGGAACAATTCCCTCCTCAGCTGCCAGCTGAGAGAGCCCAGGGAAAAGCAAATGTTTGCAGGAGTTCTGCTTGCTGAGCCACACCTGGGCCAGGCAGAGGTGACTCAGAGCTGCTGGCAGGGTGACGTGGTGGCCACAGCAAGGACAGCAAATCCTGATCCCGCTGGGGTTCCTGCAGAAAACACAGCCCGAGGATCCCCAGGGCTGAGCAATCAGGGAGCAAACCCAGCTCCTGTCACCGCCAGGACACAGCCCAGGGGTCCCAGCACAGGTGGGAAGGGGCAGCTCCCTCCAGAGCACACCCCCAGCACCTGCAGGGAACGGCTGGGGCAAAAAATATAATAATAAAAAAATAATAATGGACTCGAAGGATGGATTCAGTCTTCAAGGAGGAAAACAAAGGTGATTTAAGGAGTCTGGATGAGGCCCCACCTGCCCAATGCACATTCCCAAGCCCCCACACAATCCCAGGCCCCACATTTCCAGGTTTTCCTTCAGGAGAAGCTGCCTCGTGTCCCAGATTTCCAGTGCAGCTGCAGCTCTCTCTTCCCTCTCCTCCCCGGGGCTGAAAGCATCCATGGGGAAGCACAAAGGCAGCGAGGCCCAGCAGCCCCCAGCACAGCCCCCAGCCCATCTCCATCGCTCCATCGCTCCAGGACCTGCTCAGAATCGCGAGGAACGAGGGGAGTTTCACCCCAGAGAGGCGTGGGCAGCTCGGGGGCCTGGTGACGCTGCTGCTGCCACCTCCATCCTCAGCCAGGAGGAACCAGGGCAGGAGCAGACTGAGCCAGAGCCCTTCCCTGGCCTCGGGGAATTATCCAAGGGATTCTGACTCCACTGGGCAGCCAAACCGGGCGTGGAGGCGCAGAGAACACAGCGGGGGGAGGAGGAGGAGGAGGAGGACGATGCACTCACCCCCGCGGCAAAGCCCAAGCTCCCATCCAGGATCCGCCTCTGGAAGAGAGAAACAAACACAAACACCTTGAACTCCTGGTGAAACCACTGATGGGAGAGGGGTCACCAGGCTGGAGAGGGATTTTGGACAAGAGGGAATGGCTTCCCACTGCCAGAGGATGGGGTCAGGTGGGATTTTGGGAAGGAATTCCACCTGGCGGGTGCCCAGAGCAGCTGGGGCTGGCCCTGGATCCCTGGCAGTGCCCAAGGCCAGGCTGGATGGGTTTGGAGCAGCCTGGGACAGCGGGAGTTGCCCCTGCCCATCCCAGGGCAGGATTTTTACCCCTCCCAAGGGAGCTTCACTTCGCAGCCACCCCCTGAATAAATCATCACAAGACCAAGGCATAAATAATAAATCCATCTGGGCAATTTGGAACACCCAGGCGAGGGGGGCTCTCTAATTTTGGATGCAGGATGACTTAAAGCTCAGCACTTTGCTCGTTCTGAGCACGGACTGACCCAAATCCTGCCCTGGAAACGCGGCAGCAAAACCAGGTTAGAGCAGGGGAGCTGCTGCTCCCAGCACAGAGCCCCAGGAGCGCATTCCACAGCCCAGGCTCAGCAATTTGATTTCCTTCCCCTCCTGTGTGTTGGGAAAGGAGCCGGATTTTCATCTCCTCAGTGCTGGGAGCAGGCAGCCAAACCCAGCCATGAGCAGGGCACAGCCCTCGGGTCTGGATCCTGTGGGATCCCAGGGCTCAGCACAGGATCCCAGGGCTCAGGAGAGGATCCCAGGGCTCAGCACAGGATCCCAGGGCTCAGGAGAGGATCCCAGGGCTCGGGAGCCCATCCCAGGGCTCAGCACAGGATCCCCAGGGCTCAGCACAGGATCCCCAGGGCTCAGCACAGGATCCCCAGGGCTCAGCACAGGATCCCCAGGGCTCAGCACAGGATCCCCAGGGCTCAGCACAGGATCCCAGGGCTCGGGAGAGGATCCCCAGGGCTCAGCACAGGATCCCCAGGGCTCAGGAGCCCATCCCAGGGCTCACCTGCCCACTGGAGAACACGAACACCAGCGCTGACCCTGCCGCCGTCAGCCCCCAGGTGAGCAACGTCCCCAGCACCGCCTGCGGCACCGGCCCAAATCCCGGGATCATGCTGACCTAGGGGACAGGAGCAGCCTCAGGAGAAGAGCCAGAGAAGCCCAAATCCCACCTAAACCCCTCTGCAGCACAGGGATCAGAACCAGCTCCACCATCCCCCCCTAAACTCCTCTCTCCCCCCTTAGGCGAGGCTCTGCCATCCAAGCCGAGCTCACCGGGACCCAGCACAACCCCAGCAGGATTTCGGGGCTCAGACCCCGCCCAGACCCCTTTTTTGTGCCCCCAGCCCGGTTTTGCTGCTGTGGAAGATCCTGCCATCCCCTGCAGCTCGGGAAAGGGGAGCAGACCCCAGCGACAGGGAATGAGCACTGGGAATGACCCAGGGAGCAGCACTGCCAAGGAAACAGGGATGGGTGAACCGAGAACACATCCCTGCACCGACAGGTTTGTGTGTAAATAAATCACACACGGGGATCTATAGATTCATATGGAAGTGGAGTATGAAATATGAATATGGAATAGCAGAAATAAACGCACCCCTCAGATCCCCCCCAACCCTACACCGGCAGCTCCACACCCCCGGGCCCAGGACCACAGAATCCTCCAAACCTGGAACCCCCGACCGGTGCCAGGATCCCCAAACCGCCCTCACCTGAGGCCGCCGGACCCCCGAACCCCCCAAACCCGGACCCCAGGGCCAGCCCCAGGACCCCCGGACCCCGCAATCCTGAACCCCTGGCCTGTCCCAGGAGCTCTGAACCCCCAAACCCGGATCCCCGGAGCTCCTGACATATCCCAGGAGCCCTGAACTCCCCAAACCTGGATCCTCGGAGCCTCTAACCCATCCCAGGACCCCCAAACCCCCCAAGCGTTCCCCCCCAAGATGCCCTGGCCGGTTCCACGACCCCCGCAATCCGCAAACCTGGAGCTCGGGAGCGGTGCCCCCTCACAGCTGGAGGCCGTGGCCGGTGCCAGAACAGTCCCAGTCCCAGTCCCAGTCCCAGTCCCAGTCCCAGTCCCAGTCCCAGTCCCAGTCCCAGTCCCAGTCCCAGTTCTCCCCGTACCGCAGCCCCGGGCCGGTCCCGCCGCCACTTCCGGGTGCGCACACGTGTCTGCGGGCTGGCCCCGCCCCCTGGGGCGCTCAGCCAATGGGAGCGCGGCGGGGGCGGGCCGGCCGCGGGCC